ACGCTGTGCCCAAACCTGATTCCCCAGCTGGGGGGCAAAGCTCAATCCCAAGTCATTCAGCAGCGGTCGAGTTTGGCTTTTGTTCGTCGGCTGCTGGTCGGCACTCTTTGCCAGATGTGGCCACGCAAGTTCGTCCAGTTCAGTAGCTGTTTTTCGCAGGTATCGGATCCGCCCAGAACCTCCAGTCACGGGCGTCACTTTCCTGTTCTATCTTTGGGCCGCCCCCCGCCTTGCCACTTCCAGTCTCTGAGGGCAAAACTGCAGTGGAGGCAGCTATTCCTGCCGCCGTCCCAATCGCTATCGCTTGGGCCTCCAGCTAGGGGCTGTCTTCCGGCTTCAGGCATCGCCCACTCTCGTCTTTTCTCGTATCGTGTTGCCGTGCGCTGAACTGCAAGCGCTCCACTAGACGGAAAGTCTCTGTTCCTCCAATTGTATTTTTGGTTTTGTCATGGCGCCAACATGGCAGAGCGGATTTCGCTCGGAAAACGATGGGGTCGGCCCACGGTGTCCTAGAGAATTTCTTTCCGGATTTCGAGGTGAATTTCGTGCGGATTTTGTTTTGGCCGGGAATGAAGACCAACAACAACCACGCGAAATTCACTTTTTACTCGTTCGCCGCTTCGGCCAAAAATCCACGCAGAAATCCGCTGCAGCACCTCTGCAAGGCCGCTACAATGATTTTTGAATTTTATCGAGGACATGCAATCGCATGGTGACCCTTCGGATGGGGCTTGCGATCTGCTCAGTTGCCCGAGTGCAGTGTAGCATGCGATAGCCGCTGTGGGCACACCCTTCGCAGACCTGAGGCCTGAGACCTCTCTCCATTCCCCCCATGCCCTTCGTTTCCTCCTCCACGACACGCCCGTCCAAGACGACTTCAACAACAAGCATTCCTCCCCCTCCTCCCCTCCCCTTCCGCTTCACATATTTCTTTATGTTTCGCATGCATGTCTCACCATGCACCGTAGTATTTCGGAGGCCACGGCCTCACTCACCTGGTCTCAAGTAGGCCCAGACTGCTGTCCGCATCGGTGGTCGTTCGTTCGTTCGTTCGTTCCTCCCTTCCCCTCCGTCTCACGCGACCCCCGCTTCGTCCTCGTCTCACTGCGGCTCGTCCTCTCGGAGGCCCGCAGGGGCGGCGAGGGCCGACTGCCCAGGCGCACTGCAACGGCCATCGCACCCGGCAGCTGCAGCCCCTCCCGGAGCTCCCGGAGGGGCCACCGCAGCAGTGCTGGCGGCCCTTGGGTCGTCGACCGCTCCTCGGACTCCCGCGCCGTGCACTGCTGGGGGCCGCCCGGGTGAAGCTCGGCCTTCTCGAGGCTCAGCCGAGCGAGCGAACGCAGACTGCCGAGGCACCGACCCGGCTCGACCTCCCCTCCCACCCCTTCCGGCATTGCCCCCCTTCTGTTGCAACACATCCTCCTCCTTCCCCCGACCTCAGCCGCTCATCCGCCTCGCCTCCCCTTCTCCTGCAACTCCTCCCCTCATGCAGTTCCTCTCCCTCTTTGTCCTCCTCCTCCTCCTCTTCCTTCCTTCTCCTTCTCCTCCTCCTCCTCCTCCTCCTCCTCCTCCTCCTCCTCCTCCTCCTCCTCTGTCCGCCTCGTCCCAATCCCCCCCGTCGTCTCATCATCCTCATTCCCTTCCCTCCCTCCCGGTCCTTGTCCTGGTGCCCACAGCCAGGCGTACTACAACGACATCACGCACGACAACCTCCAGCTCATCAAGTCGCTCAAGGACGAGATCCAGGAGATGAAGGATCGCCGCCGCCGGCGGGGGGTGGGGAAGAGAGCGAGGAGGTGGGCCGTGAAGAGGATGGAGGTGATGAGGAAGCGGGGGAGCAGGAGCGCAGGAAGGGGAGAGGGCGCGTGGGAGGGAGAGGGCGGGTAGAGAGAAGGGGAGCACGGCGCATGGGGCGTGAGTACGGGGGCAGAGGAAGGAGGATAGGGAGGGGCGGGAGGAGGAGTCTGGAGAGACGGGAGTAGTGAGGGTAAAACGGACGAGCGCGAGATGGAGGAGGGGGAGGAGGAGGAGGAGGAGGAGGAGGAGGAGGAGGAGGAGGAGGAGGAGGAGGAGGAGGAGGAGGAGGAGGAGGGGCAAGAGCAGTTTGAAGGCGCTTCGAAGTGCACCTGTAGTAGAAGCCGAGACTAACCTTGAGGTGCATTGGAACGGAAAGGGCCTGCCCTGCAGGCTCGGTTCACAGCAGGTCGTTCGAGCGGTGCTGCAACTTCGCCCTGCGCATTTGGCCCCCCGCCGAAGCAGCAGCTGGACAAGTCGGGTTTGTACGTGTGTGCTCTGCTGGGTTCTGGGCGCGTTGCGCCACTGCCGGTGCCGTCGCGGCCCCTCGTCAGGGCCACCGATTCGGGCAATGGCGTCGGTGATGGTGGCGGTGGCTGGGGGTGAACATGAGGAAGTCAGGAAGAGAATTGAGAGGAGAAGGTGGTGAGACGAGGGAGGAGGGAAACGGGGTAAGAAGGAGGGAAAGGAAGCGAGTCAGGATGAATCACCATGGACGGGGGGGGGATCGCGAACAAAAAGGACGAGAATTGAGGAGCTTGGAAAGAGGAGCGGGGAGCATGAGAAGGTTGATGAGATGGAGGAGGCACTCTGGGAAGGATGCAGGGAGGAGGAGGAGGAGGAGGATGAAACGGAGGAGGAGGAGGAGGAGGAGGAGGAGGAGGAGGAGGAGGAGGAGGAGGAGGAGCAGGGGGAGGAGGAGGAAAGGGGGATGGAAGGGTATGAGAAGAAAGCGGACGGCAATGATGAGGAAGACTGCGTGATGGAGGGTGCGTGAAGATGCAAACGAAGACGAGCGGGGAGGAAGTGGGGCATGATGCAGCGGTACGAGGGAAGATGGATAACGAGTAGGATGAGGAGGTGGGAGAGAAAACACCCAGGCACAGGCATCTGCCTGATGTGGGCCCATCTGCTTGCACCTGCGGGCCGCTACACCTCACGCCTCCCCACGCAGCCATGATCTCGGCAGCCAGGCTCCACTGGATCATCCAGGAGGTGGAGAATGGCTGACAAGGCGTCGTCAGGGCGCGCACGCACATCAACCAAGGAAGAACTCATCGCGCAGATCTGCTTATTCCCCGTCCTGGGCACCGGTGATGTGGCACAGCCCATGTACCAGTTTGGCCCACCGGGTACACGTGGATAGCCGAAACTGTGGACCACGTGCACCAGAATGTGGTAGTTTTATATGTTGTTTTGCCGATCGGCGCGGACCCTCGCAACCCCCCTCCCCCCTCCCCGGAGTAGATCTTTGCTGTTTTTTGTTGGCGCCTGTTTCGAACAGGTGGAGCCTTCCCTATAGTGGGCGCACTGCTGCAAACAGTCGCACTAAAGCAGAGCTCTGGAGCCAGACCCCTCCCCCCTCCCCCCCCTTCCACCCAAGATCGAAACGCCGAATAAAAAAGACACTCACAGTCCCAGCGGCGAATTCCGCAGGCACTTTGTCCCATTAAGCGCGAGTCATCAGCTCGTGCTGGTTACGTCCCTGCCCTTTGTACGCACCGCCCGTCGCTCCTACCGATTGAGTAACCCGGTGAACAATTCGTACTGCTGCGGTGTCCAGTTCCTGGCCCTCCTGCGGAGAAGTCGTCATGAGGCTTATGATGCTCCAACCTGCTGTAGCCTTGATCACAAGAACGAATTTCGAGCGCCAGAAACAAGTACCGCAACTCCAGGGTGTTCACGTGTCGGGCCCTGGGAGACACTCGCCCGACACTGTCTCGACACTGCTTCGCCACTCTTTTGACACTTCTTCGGGTGCTCGAAATTTGTTTCTGGGATGCGGCCCTTGAGTGTAGGAAGGGAACAACAGAACATGAGGCTTCCGTAGGCGAACCTGCGGAAGGATCCTGCGCACGCATCCACTCGAGTCGCTGGCGACGCCTCCTCCGGTCCGCCTCGAGCGCGCCTCGTGGCTCGACGAGGGCGTGCCGCTACTCGCGTCCCGCAGGATGCACGGCTTCGTGGTGGTGGTAGTTTGGCGAACCTGCGGAAGGATCCCGCGCACGCATCCCTTCGAGTCGCTGGCGACGCCTCCTCCGCTCCGCCTCGAGCGCGCGCCCCTGCCATGGGCCGCCTGCCGAGCGCGCCCCACGCGGCGGTGGAGAGTCTCCCCGGGCAGAGAGCCCCCCCGCCGGGGGCACGCCGGGCACCCTCGGGCGGGGCGGGCCTCGGGCGCGCCCGAGGGGGCGGAGCGCTGCGGCGCGGCGGCCGGCCGCCTGCGGCTCCCGCGGCGCAGGCGGCTCGAGCGCCGTGGCTCGACGAGCGCGCTCCGCTGCTCGCAGAGTAAGTGCTCGCAGGCCTCCTCGCTACTCGAGCTCCTCCTCCTCCTCCTCCTCCTCCCCCTCCTCTCCTCCCCCCTACTCCCTCTCCTCTCCTCCTCCTCCTCCTCCTCCTCCTGCTCCTCCTCCTCCTCCTCCTCCTTCTCCTCCTCCTCCTCCTCCTCCTCCTCCTCCTTCTCCTCCTCCTCCTCCTCCTCCTCCCCCGCGGGGGATCTGCGATGAATGACATCAGAGCAGACAGATGTTTTTGTTCGGGCGTTCGCGAGTAGGCACTTCGTGCGAGTCGTGGAGCGCGCGCTCGGCGAGGGGCGAGGGAGAGCGAGCCCCTCGATGAGGACGAGGCCCCGACGGGCTCGCGGCGCTAAACGAAACAGCAGGGCAGGACGACGGACGGCAGGTGTTTGGCCGTGTGCGGCCTCGGGGGGGCCCTCGCCGGGCCTCGGGGCCGTCAGGGAAGGACTCGGGATGAGGCGCCGGTCCTGGGGAAATGGTCTAGTCAAGCAGTGACGAAGCGTCCTATCTCGCCTAGAGCCCCATTAAGCAATGTTCTAAGAACCTTCTGTGGTTCCCACGAACTGTTCTTAGAACATTTCTGGTTGGGACTGTCTTGTTTTATCACATCGGGTTTATGTGCTAAGAAGATTGTTTTTGTTATTAGAACATTTTTGCGTTCTAAGAACATTTCGTGGTAGGACTATAGGGATGCCGGGACGGTCGGTCCCTGCTCAATCTAGGCTTCCGAGGACGCCGTCCTGAAAAACTCAGGACCTCGCATGTCTGGGGATAGAAGTGGCCATGGTGAGGCTTCGGCGGCACGGGTCGGACGGGGCTGGGACGAGGATAAATCCGTCCCAGAGCGATGCGGAAGGCTCTCAGGGCGTTCCAGAACGCTCTGAGAAGGCCGGCGAGAAACGTGCACTCGCTCCTGGCATTGCCGCGCGCCTTGTCGGCCCGAAGGCCAGGCCATTGCTGGATGCTACGAAGGCGCCCCGACGAGGCTGCTTACCGCTGGGACGTCAAGATAGACTCTGCGGCCACTCGCGACACCGCGGCCTGCCTCCTTGAGCCCGTTGGCTCCCATACGAAGACGCCTCTCGGCATTGCGCTCCAAAGCGCCGCTCTCGAGTTCTCCACCATTTGGGCCCACTGGCCAATGATTAGGTCTACCATTCGGTGTACAACCTCGCTGACAAGAAAGGGTAGCCCTGGATGGCCGCTTTCTTCCTGCCGCTCTTCACTGGCGAGGCCGCCTCTGACAAGATGTGCTGCCACATGGCCGCCGGAAGCCTTCTGATCGTCTACCAGGGAGGGCAGGCGCGTGAGTTCTTGTGTTGTTCGAGTGACGTTTTCTCAACGCCCCCGCGCCGTCTCGGGTTGCGCTACCCTGCAGGCTTGCATCGATTGATTGTCCTGTTGCCACTCGATTCTTCGGGCGAGTGTTTTGCATGTTCGATCGTTCTGGCAACCTTTGGTGCGCTTCCTATGCATGTTGTAAGCGCTGCAAGCGTGCGTCTCCAGGAGGGGCGTGAGAGGATAAGGGAGGGAGGGAAGAGGTGTGAGGCGGTAGAGGTAGGGAGGGAGGGAAGAGGCGTGAGAGGTAGGAGGGGTGCGAGTGGATAAGTCAACCAAATGATTGGTGTATGGGGGGAGGATTTGAAGAGGACATCAGGGAGAGTAGGCATTTGATGAGTTGTTGTGTGTTGGGTGAGAGAGAGAGGGAGAGAGAAGCAGAGAGAGAGAGAGTGAACGATGGAGAAAGAGGAAGAGCAAGAAGGAGACAGAAAGAGGGGGAGAGAGAGAGAGAGAGAGAGAGACCGAGAGAGAAAGAGTGAGACGGGGGAAAACATGACAGGGAGCGATGCGAAGACGGAGAGGTATGGATGATGTGTGGTCAGGATGAACACCGCACTGATGATACGGAAACGAAGCATGACAAGGAACAGGTCTATGGCCATCACATTGCGAGCGTGTACGAGCATGGGCGAGGGAGTATGCAGGAGGGAAGTTGAGGAGAAGCATGTGGAGGAGGATGGAAGGGAAGAGCGAAAGGAGGATGAGGAGGAGGAGGAGGAAGAGGAAACAGCAGGAGGGAGGAAAGAGAGATTGCGCGAGGAGTGAGGCCGAGGGAAGAACATCGGAGGGGGAAGAGGAGAGGGAAGAGGGGAGGGGAAGCGGACGAGTGGCAAGGGGCGCATCGCCCGTTGGGCCGCGTCGGCCGCAGCCCGCCTGGCGATGACTGCGGCGACCGCTTCCCTCCTGCTGCTGCTCCTCGTCGCCGTCCTACCCCGTCTCGTCTTCCTCCTTTCGCAGCTGGGGGCAAGATAATGAAGACGACGAGGACAGTGGGGGAGGAGGAAGGCGAATGAGGAGGGGGAGGAGGAGGAGGAGGAGGAGGAGGAGGAGGAGAAGGCTGAGCTTGTTATCCTCCTCGTCCCCCTCCTTGACCAGATCCTCCTCCTGGACCCGTGCCGATGTTTTTTTTGCCTGGCTTCGGCGGGAGGGCCGAGCTAGAGGCCCCTGGGCCTCGAGGCTCGGGACGCGGGGCACCTCGCGTCTGAGGACAAAGGCTGCTTTCAGCCCAGGCCTGGACCTCTGACCTCTCTCTCTCTCTCTCTCTTTCTCTGCCTCTCTCCCCCCAGCTAGGCTTCATGGACGTTCAATCGTTGCCGTGGTCGTCGTTGTCGTAGTCCCTCTCCTTCTCCTCCTCTCCTCCTCCATCACACCTCCATCTCTCCTCCTCCTCTCCTCCTCCTCCTCCTCCTCTACCTCCTCCTCCCCTCTGGACCCAGTCAGGTGCTTCGTCGAGGCTATTCCTGGGGGGGCCCTCCTGGGACCCCGGGTGGCAGTCGCGGCTGAGCGGCTGCCAGTCCTCCTCCCTCCTCCTTTCCTCCTCCTCCCTTCGCCTCCCCGTAGTCTCGCCTCGGGCCTCGGCGCGGTGCGATGCGACGGGCGGCCCGCGGAGTACTATATATTCCTCCTCCTCCTCCTCCTCCTCTCCTCTTCCTCCCCTCCTCCTCCTCCTCATCATCATCATCACCATCATCATCATCATCATCATCATCATCTTCAGCATCGGCATCAGCATCATCATCGTCAGCAGCATCATCATCATCATCGCTTCTATCGGGCTGAGGTGGCCGAGCGGGACGATAACAGCTGTCGCGCCATCAGAGTCGCCGTCGTCTTGGCTCTCGTCGCTGTCGTTCTCCTCCAGCTTCCTCACGCCGCCAACGGCGAGGACCGCGAAAAGAGCAACCAGAAGAAGATGGCCAAGCTGACACAGGAGAACAAGGACCCCGCCGCGGGCGGGCTCCCAGGCCCTCCCCATCCCCTCCACACCCCCACCTCCTCGTCTTCCTCCTCCCTCTCCTCCTCCGCCTCCTCCCTCATCCCCTCCTCCTCTCTCCTCCTCTCCCCCTCCGTCTCTCCTCCTCCTCCCTCCTCCTTCTCCTCCTCCTCCTCCTCCTCCTCCTCCTCCTCCTCCTCCTCCTCCTCCTCCTCCTCCTCCTCCCCTTCACGTGCTCCACTCCCCTCCGATGCAGCGCGTAAGGATGTCAGCGCGGTTTCGTGCGCTAGGGGTGGGGTGCGGCTGGTGCCAGCGCCTGCGCGCCTTTGTGTTATGCTTGCTCTACGCAGCTGATTGGAGACTCGAAACATCGAAACTCTACATCGGTGGGGATGGACCCGTCCCGATTGTTCGGCTGTAAGGCAGATCCCAGAGCCACTTACAGCGTGGCGCTCTAAAGTCTACAGGCAGCTCCGATAGGCATTCGTTGTCACGGACTCCATGTCCATCCACGCCTCCTCGTCCCCCTCTCTCCTTGTTGTCCGCCTCCTCCGTGTCTGCATTCCCTTTCCCCACAGTTTCATTATGTTTCCTCCTCCCCCTCTCATGCGTACCCCTTTCCCATCCCCCCTGCCCCGCGTGTTGTCTTTTCCATCTCCCCATCCGCCTTCCCATCCGTGTCCTCCTGCCTCTCTTCCCGCTGCTCCTGTTGCTGGCAACTGGAGCTGTTGGATGTTGCTGCCACCAGCTGCGCAAGAATCTCCCCGAAGCATCCCCCACCATCCGCTCACCATGGTCCTCGGACATCCTTCACGGCCCTGCTCCTTCCCCTCAACATCTACCATTGGCTGGCACGCCGGCTCGCTCTCTCTCTCTCTCTCTCTCTCCCTCTCTCCCTCTCTTCCAGAGGCGGCTTGGAGTGAAGGTCATCCCAACGACGAGGACGACAACGATCCCTTCGGCTTCGGGGGTTCTCTCGATCACCACGACGACGACCCGCTCGAGCCTCCAGGCGCGGACAGAGCCGCCGCTGTGGAGAGTAGCCACCCCTCACGTTCCAGCACGGCCCCGTCAAGTGGCCAACAACCGACGCCTCCCCAGCGGACGGTCACGCAGACCGATCCTCTGTCCCAGATCGGCGGCGAGCGAGGGGGGAAATGAGAAAGGAGAAGGCCTTCTCAGAAGGCGGTGGGACTTCTCAGAAGCCCTCTCGCCTTTCGAGAAGTTTGTTGCCGTCTCCGGGGAAGGCTTGGCAGACTTCCCGGAAGGCCGGGGGGGTCCAAGCCTTCTGACAAGGCCTTCTCCTTCTCACTTCCCCCCCTCGCTTGCCGCCGACCAGAGTTAAGTCGGGCCTGTCCCTCTACAGGGGGAATATTCAAAAATAGTAAAGCCATAGTCTGGGGATTATCATTAATGCATGTTTTTTCCAACTATTTTGCAGTATGTTTGGGGGTATGTGTTATTTTTCATCGAAAATCCCCCTGTGTAGGGGACAGGCCCGGCTTGAGACCAGAGTCGTCTGTGGCTCCCCCAGATGGCCAACAGAGGATTGCGGCCCTCTCAGGCCGTGTGTCGGGCCGGACGAAAGGGGGGGATTGGGAAGGGGGGGTACGAAATTCGCTGCACGCGGCTGGTTCCGGCCTCACCGAGGGGCCCATTCTGCGATACGTGGCCGCCTCTGGCGCCGGGAGGCGCCGGGAAAATCAGCTACGTGAGCTGATTCTCACCCCCCCCCTTTGCTATCCCCCCCTTTCGCCCTCTCAGGCCGTGTGGTGGCTTATTATTTTGGGATAGTTTTGAAAGTATGGTTTTAAACATTTTGAAATATTTTTGGGGTATCTTTACTTTTTCCATCGAGCAAGTCCCCCTGTAGGGGGACAGGCCCGACTTACGACCAGAGTCGTCTGTGGCTCCCCCCGATGGCCAACAGAGGACGGCGGCCCTCTCAGGCCGTGCGGTGGCCTGCACGAGCCGGGCGAGGCGGCCGCCGCCGCCTCGGGCAGCGGCACAACCCCGCCAGCTCAGCTCCGGCGGCCCGCGGGCCCTCCCGCCGCGAAGGGCCCGCAGGGCTGATTTGGACGCCCGAGATGGGCACGGAAAGAGCGGGTGCAATGCTCCCGCGCTCAGGACCTCCGAGAGCTGGGCCTGCGGCGGGGCTCGAGCGTTAACCCGTGCTTCGCTCTCCCTCGTTCTGCCTTCTCCCTGCCCTCGCTGCGAAACGACGCCCCGGCAACGCAAATTTTGGGACGCCCGAAATGGGTACGGAAAGAGCGGGTGCAATGCTCAACAGCAGATGTTGTCCCAAACCAGCAGCGGCCGCTGTCGGGCAGGCGGCCTGCTGTCTCGAATGGACACAGGCCGCGGCGACTCCGACGGCGAGGTCTGTTCAGAAGGAACAGGAACTGCTGTTGGGCATTTTACTCATTCTTTCAGTACCCATTTCGGGCGTCCAAAGCCGACCTCCCAGATCTCGAGTGTGGGGATCGACTACAGACTTCCTCTACCCCAAGAAGAGTCTTCGCGTCGAAGTTATAAAGGAACCACGTGGGCCGATCTCCGACCATCCCGCGTTTTTGTTTGTCTCGTGCAGTCGACGAGCAAGTCAAACACAGTGATGTTTTGAATACATGCTCACGTGCGGATCATGCATTAAACTGCAGGGATTTAGTATTCAAAACAACGATGAGTTCATGCATGACTTGATTCATAAATCAATCATGTACTAGAAATCCTATATGTTTGAAAATCCGATGTATTAGAAACTGCCCTGTATGGGGTCAACCTGCTCGAGCCCCTACTCGAAGACCTCCCTGCCCGACCGCCGCCGCCGACGCAGCTGCCTCGGCGGGCGCTCCAGCCGGCTGCGGGCCCGCTCTCCACGGGCCCCGGGGCGCCCTGCACAACACTGCCGTTTCTGCACCCTCGCTTGGCCCGCAGCGCCTCGCAGAGTCCCCTTCTGTCTTGTCTTATAATATTTCTTTTACGTGTTTATGGAACTGCATGTATGTATGTGTTCATGTACATACATATATAAACATACACGGTTGTGTTTATGTATGTATGTATGTATATATGCATGTATGTATGTTTGTATGTATGTATATATGTATGTATGTATGTATGTATGTATGTATGTAGGTATGTATATATGTATGTGTATATATGTATGTATGTATGCATGTATGTATGTATGTATGTATGTATGTATGTATGTATGTATGTATGTATGTATGTGTATATATATGTGTATGTATGTATGTATGTATGCATGTATGCATGTATGTATGTATGTATGTATGTATGTATGTATGCATGTATGTAGGTATGCATGCATGTATGTATGTATGTATGTATGTATGTATGCATAGGTGTATGTATGTATGTATGTACATATGTATGTACGCATGTATGTATAGTTGTATGTGTGTGTATGTATGTACGTATGTTTGTGTGTATGATTGTATGTATGTATGTATGTATGTATGTATGCATGCATGTATGTATGTGTGTATGTATGTATGTATGTATGCATGTATGTACGTGTGAATGTATGTACGTATGTATGTATGTAGGTAGGTAGGTAGGTAGGTAGATATGTGTGTATGTACGTATGTATGTATGTATGTATGTATGTATATGTGCATGGATGTATGCTTGTATGTATGTATGCATGCATGTATGTATGTATGTATATATGTATGTATATGTATGTAGTTATGTATGTATTTATGTATGTATGTATGGCTGTCTGTATGTGTGTATGCCTGTCTGTCTGTCTGTCTGTCTATCTGTCGGTATGTATGTATGTATGTATGTAGGTATGTATGTATGTATGTCTATATGTATGCATGTATATGTATATATACGTAGTTATTTGTAACAAAAGCAAATCCCCTGACCCAGGAGGCGCCCCGCTGCGCCGCCGAACATTCCCCCAGCCTGCTCCCCGCGAGGCCCCCCGGCGGCCGCCGCTTGCCGCGGGGCGCCGGCGCGGGATACCCTCGCGCACCCTGGCCGTCTCTCTCCCTCTCTCTCTCTCTATCTCTTTCTTGTTCTCTCTTTCTCGTTTTTTTTATTGGTTTCTCTTCCTCTCTCTCTCTTTCTCTGATTCTCTCTCTCTCTCTCTCTGATCATTTCCCTTGTCTCTGTCTCTGAATACCTCTCTATATTTCTCTCTTTCTCTCTCTCTCTCTTTCTCTGTGCCTCTTTCTCTCTCTCTCTCTCTCTCCTTCTCTCTGTTTCTGTCTATCTCTCTCTCTCTCTCGTTATTTCTCTCTCTCTCTATCTTTACTGCTGTTGTAGTGATTGTATATATACACATACATGTATACGTATGTATGTATACGCGTATACACACATATATACATGTATGCATATAGAAATCGAGAGGCTTATATACGCCATTCCTCCGACGCCCATGGCAGAAAGTTCGTCAAGAGCCGTGCCTCCGTGCCTGGCATGTGGGCCAAGAGCCTCGGGGATGCGTGTGAGGGTGGTCTCCAGGAGTGCCTCTCGGGGGCCTCTTGGGGGCGGATGTGGGCATCTCGTTGGCTCTGGGGGCTTCCAAGGGGCCTATTGGGTTCCTATGGGGGGGCTCTTGGGCTGCCTCTTGGAAGCCTCTTGGAGTTCATTTGGGGCGCCTCTGGGGGGGGGGGGTCCCTGGGGGGCCTTTGGTTCCATCACGGCGGGGAAGACTTGAGATGCCACGTCGTAGGGCCCTTCTTGGGTCCCCCTTTTGGGGCCATCCTGGGCAGTCCGGGGGTCATCCGTGGGCCCTCCTCTGGGGCGCCATATTGGGCCGTACTTGGGCCCTCTCGGGGGCCTCATGGGCCGTCTGGGGACGATCCTGGGGGCTCCTTGGGACGCAAGGTTAAGTCGGGCATGTCTGTCCCTTTGTATGAGGAGTCTCCAAAAAAGAGTCAATAGTATATGTTGAACATTTCTAACTATTTGTCGTTTCTCCGGCAAGCGGTGTCGGCGGATTTTGTTATCTTCCTTCCTCTTTGTACGCGCCCGATGTGTGTTTTAACTGCACTGCTCTGATCTGCTTTGTTATGATGCTGTTATCTGTTGATCTTATATGATGCGGTCTCTCTCTCTCTCTCTCTCGCTCTCGCTCGATCCCTCTGTCTATCTCCTTCTCTCGTTCACTCTCTCCCTCGCTCTGTGCCCACTTGGAAACGCCTTTCTCTGCGGTCGAGAGGACTTGCAGAAGCCCCTGGATGAAAAGCTGGAGAACTTGCGCGAGCTGCAGGAGAAGCTGAAATCGCAGAAAAAGGCGCGGCGGGCTAAATTGAAAGAGGACAGATGAAGAGCATGAGGGGGAGTAGGATGAGCAGGAGGCGGATCAGGAGTGAGGGGGGAGGAGGTCGGACAGAGGAGGGGAAGGCTGAGAAAGAGGTGGTGGCGGCGCAGGAAGTGGAGCGTGTAAAAAAGGGATGAGGAACATGATGTCGAGTGTGTACAGTGCAGCGCAAGGATAAGCAGGAGTTAGAAGGGGAGGGAAAGGGAAAGAAGAAAAGTGGATCAGAAGGAATCGGACGGGGGATTAGGAGAAGGATGGAGGAGGATGGAGGACGAGGAGGAATAAGAGGATTCGGAGGAAGACGAGGAGGAGGAGGAGGAGGATGGAGGAGGATGGAGGAGGATGGAGGAGGATGGAGAGGATGGATGGAGGAGGATGGAGGAGAGAAGGAGGAGGATGGAGGAGGAGGAGAGGAGGAGGAGGAGGAGAGAAGGAGGAGGATGGAGGAGGAGGAGGAGGAGGAGGAGGAGGAGGAGGAGAGGAGGAGGATGAGAGGAGGAGAAGGAGGATAAAGGAGGAGGAGGAGGAGGGGGGGATGACGATGACGGGAACGGGGAGTTGTGGGGGCAAAAGGGCGGAGAAGAGTGGGAGGCCGGAACTCGAACGGAGGGAGTGGCTCGGGGGGGGGAGGCGTGCAGGCCGGGGCGCCGGCCACGCGGTGAGGACAAGCTTGCGCTGAAGAACCTGAAGGCGCACCACAAGCAGCTGGACGAGCGCACCACGGAGGCGAAGCAGGCCCGCCCGCGCGTTTTTGGCCCCGCCTCTCGGGGTCGAGGTCCTCCCCCCCACTCTCTACCTCCTCCTCCTCCTCCCCTCCACCTCCTCTTCCTCCCCGCTATCCTCCTCTATCCTCCGCCATCCTGTTATACTCCTCCTCCTCCTCCTCCTCCTCCTCCTCCTCCTCCTCCACCTCCTCCCATCTTTTTACTTCCCTCCTCCTCCCTCCTCCCCTCCTTCCTCCTCCTCCTCCTCCTCCTCCTCCTCGTCGTGTCCCTCCCCTCTCCTCGTCCCCTCCCCGCACCCATCCCCATCCCCTCCCTCTCCCCCTAGCCCTCCCCCTCCCCCTCCCGCCTCCTTCTCCTCCTCTTCCTCCTACCCCCTCCCCCACATCCACCCCTTCGCCTCTATCCTCCTAGAGCACCCAGCAGTCCATCCTCCTTCTCCTCCTCCTCGTCCTCCTCCTCCTCCTCCTTCCTCCTCCTCCTCGTCTCCTCCATCCTCCGTCTCCTCCTCCTCCTCCTCCTCCTCCTCCTCCTCCTGCTCCGCCTCCTTCTTCTCCTCCTTGTGTCCCTCCCCTCTCCACAATTACTCAATATGAAAATACTCTCCCTCTTCCCCTGATGGCGTCCGGGTGATGGCCGCGCATTCTCCGCGTATTGTTTTTTTACACAGGATGCCCGGGAAATCCCGGGAAACGACTCTCGCTGAGGCGCCGGCGTCATTTTCGGGCCGCACGCCCCCCGCGTACTGTTTTTTACACAGGATGCCCGGGAAACGGGTTTTCGCCTGCGTTTTTTTTGTTAATGATGCTCTCGCTGAGGCGCCGGCCTCATTTCTGCTCCCGAATCGTTCCGAATCGTGCTCCTGCTGCAGCGTGGGCCTCATTTTCGGATCGGTGTTTGGCCTCCGTCGTTCAGGATGGCGTTCTCGCCCCAGCGCGGGCCTCTTCTCGCGCGCCCATCCGCCCGCCACCACCGCGCCGCACCACCACCACCACCACCACCACCACCACCACCACCACCACCACCACCACCACCATCACAACCACCACCAGCACCAGCACCACCACCAGCACGAGCACCAGCACCAGCACCAGCACCAGCAGCACCACCACCACCACCACCACCACCACCACCACCACCACCACCACCACCACCACCACCACCACCACCACCACCACGACAACCACGCACACACGCACGCACGCACGCACGTGCACCACCACCCACTACGCAGGCGCGCGCGGAGCCACAGGTCCGCTACGACACGCGTCCGCGGATAGAGAAAATCAGCGCCATGGTAAGGGATGGGAGGGAGGGGTAGGACGTCAGATATGACGCGAGCGCACCTAGCTTGCCCCTCTCCCCTCTCCCCTCTCCCCTCTCCCATCTCCCCTCTCCCTCCCACTAACCCCCTCTCGCCTCCTCCCCTCCTTTTCCTTTTCCTCCCCGTCCCTCTTTTCTCCTCCTCCTCCTCCTCACTCCTCTCCTCCTCCTCCTCCGCCTCCTCTTCCTCCCCCTCCTCCTTCCTCCTCCAGCTCACATCCCCTCCCCCGCCACACCCCCTCCCCCCATCCCCCTCACCGATTCCTCCTCCTTCTCGTTCTCTTCCTCCTCGCTTCCGTATCGTCCTCCTCCTCTTCCTCCCCCTTCCTCCTCCTTCTCGTTCTCTTCCTTCTTCTCGTTCTCTTCCTTTTCGTCCAAAGCCGCCCTGTATGCAGGGCGGCTTTGGACGAAAACTTTGGGGCACACACCCGACCTGAGATGGGCCCCGGAGCCCCCCGGCCGGAGCGAGCGCGCCCCGGGAGAGAGCAGTCGGGGGTGGACAGGCCTCCCACCCCCGACGCGTCGATTGGCGAATGGGCCGTGTTCGGTTCGCGAGAGGGCGTTGCTCAAAACTCTCAGTGCAATTCATTTCCTGTTGAAGCCCAAAAGGATGTTTTCTCTAGTTTTCCAGCTGATCTTCCAGTGAGCTTACTGTCTGCATTGGCAGCACTGTTATGTATGGAAGGAGCTCTGCGAGGTCCCCTGCGGTAGCCTGGTTGACGGCTTACCGCGGGCACACAGTTTTTGCGGGTCCAGGTCCGTCGGTTTCGGTCCCAGGCCGGTTTTACGAAGGGGGGGATTTTAGGAAAGGGAGGTCTGTCCACCGCCGAAGATCAGAGCGTGAATTACCTACCCCGCTTTTGCTTCCAGGCAAAACCGAGTCATACCACGCGCCTCCTCGCCAAGCGGCCAGACCAGTACAGGCCGTAGTTTGGCATCGCTTGGTATCTCTTGGAAGCGAGGGTGGTCAAAAGCGAGGTCGATTTGCTTGCCCCCCAGAGGAGGAGAGGCCCGGACAGCAGAGGGGGGCCGTTTCGGTCCCAGGCCGTTTTTGCGAAGGGGAGGTTTTTCGTAAAGGGAGGTCTGTCCACCGCCGAAGAGGAGAGGCCCCGACAGCAGAGGGGCCTCGGAGCCCCTCGTGGCCAAGCTCCCGGGGGCACAGCCCGAGCCCCCGGGCCCGTGCCCGTGCCCCGCGAGACCGCGCCTGGAGGAGGTCGGGGGCCCGCAGGGCGGGGCCGGGAGGAGGGGGAGGAGGATAGAGGAGGATAGAGGATAGAGGAGGAGGATAGAGGAGGATCGAGGATAGAGGAGGAGGAGGAGGGGAGGAGGAAGGAGGAGGAGGGAGGAGGGAGGAGGGAGGATATAGGAGGATAGAGAGGTTAGAGGAGGAGGAATAGAGAGGATCGAGGATCGAGGAGGATGAGGATAGAGGAGGACGAGAGGAGGAGGAGGAGGAGGAGGAGGAGGAGGAGGAAGAGGATAGAGGAGGATAGAGGAGGTTAGAGGAGCAGGATAAAGGAGGAGGGAGGAGGATAGAGGAGGCCGAGGAGGAGGAGGAGGAGGAGGAGGAGGAGGAGGAGGAGGAGGAGGAGGATAGAGAAGGAGGAGGAGCAGGAGGAGGAGGAGGAGGGGGAGGAGGAGGAGGAGGGAGGAGGGAGGAGGAGGAGGATCGGTTCGCGTCAGGAGATAGGATCATATCGTCAGTATTGCAGCGTATGTTGAGGGTGCTTGTTATCGGCGGTGAGCGAGGGGGGGAAGCGAGAAGGGGCGGGCCTTCTCAGGAGGCTCGGAAGACCCCCCGGGCTTCCGGCAAGTGTTCGAAGCTTACCCCGAAGGCACAGAGATCTTCCCAGAAGGCGCGAGGGCTTCTGAGAAGTCCCGCCGCTCTGTGAGAAGGCCTTCTCCTTATCACTTGCCCCCCTCGCTCGCCGCCGATATTACACATTGAGCCCTGTATCTTTCCAACCCCGTCCTCCCAACACGGTGATTGTTTCTCTCGCAGGAGTCTGCCAGTGCGCCATCGAGCGCGTGTCTCATCCCTCGCTCCATGTATCTCGCCTCTCCCGCTTTCCTGCCTCTCCTGCTTCGGGGGGAGCCTGGTCCCTCCATGAGGGCTCGATCGGGCCACTGATCTGGCCGCTCCCTCGATCGATGAGGATCGGCGCGGTCGATTGGGCCCTCACATGCACTTCCTCTAACTCCCACTCCGATTTTCGCCGTCTGCCGCCCCTGGCTGATCCCAGCTCACCGCCTCCCCTCTCCCCGGCTCCCTCTCTTCGCTGGCTCCCCGGCCCTCCTCTCCAGGAGCCCCTACCGTCCGCCTCTGCGTCCTTTTCCGCCAGCCGCGAGGGCCCGCCTGCGATCCCCAGCGAAAATCCGCGCCGCCCCTTCTCCCGCCATACAGGCCTGCCCCTCCCCGTCCCATCGCGAGAGAGAGAGCCAAGCTTGCCCCAGGAGTTCCGGACCACGGAGGAGCGGTACCGGAAGCTCGAGAAGGACCCGTGCAGATCGGGCGGGCGCCTAATGGGGGGTGACGCACATCGGGCGTGAAGCAACGGGCCCTAAATGGGGCACTGTAGTGCCCCTTTGGGGCCCCCGCTGGCTCCGAGAGGAGCCCCAAACAGGGCCCCTTTAGGGTCCTTTCCTTTCAGGTTCGCCCCCCATTCTCGGGCTGGACGAAAGGGGGGGATTGGGAAAGGGGGGGGTACGAAATCTGCTGCGTGCAGCTGGTGTCGGCCCCACCGAGGGGCCCATTCCTCGATACATAGCCGCCTCCGGCGCCGGGAGGCGCCTGGAAAAGCAGCTGCGCAAGCTGATTCTCAACCCCCCCCTTTGCTATCCCCCCCTTCCGCCCGGCCCGACATCAGCAGCCGACCGCGCAGCGCGGGGGAGGGGAGGCGGCGGGGGCACCGGTTGCCCCTGTGCACCCGGGCACGGCGAGGCGGCAGGGGAGCCATGGAGAGCTCTACGGCGCGCGAGGTGAGGGCAAGGAGAGGGTAAGGGGCCATCTGAAGTGTGATGATCTGCGAGGGGAGAGGGGGGAGGAGGAGCGCAGAAGGAGTAGGAGGAGGAGGAGGAGGAGGAAGAGGAGGACGGGGAGTAGCAGGAGGAGGACGAGGACGAGGAGGACGACTGGGATGGAGGAGGAGGAGGAGGAGGAGGAGGAGGAGGAGGAGGAGGAGCAGGAGCCACTTATCCTTCCTTGATTGTGACAGATCCTCATCCTCTTCCTCTTCCCATGTAGGAAACCTCTCTTCTCAGAGTGAGGACGAGCACGGGGATGAGTGAAGGAGGGATACGCAGGAGGAGGTGGAGGAGGAGGAGGAGGAGACGGACGGGGTGGAGTGGCAGCAGAAGGAGGAGGAGAAGGAGGAGGAGGAGGAGGAGGACGGGGAGGAGTAAAAGGATGAGGAGGACGACTGGGATCAAGGAGGAGAGGAGGAGCAGTAACCAGATATCCATCCTTGAAGTTGGCAGATCCTCATCGTCTTCTTCTTCCCATGTAGGATTTTTTCTCCTCAGGGGGAGGAGGACAGCAGCAGGAGCGGGAGGAGGACGAGCACGGGGATGAGTGGGGGAGGAATGCGCAGGAGAAGGAGGAGGAGGAAGAGGAGGATGAGGAGGATGAGGAGGAGTAGGAGTAGGAGTAGGAGGAAGAGGAGGAGGAAGAGGAGGAGGAGGAGGAGGAGGAGGAGGAGGAGGGGACAGAGGATATGGAGGAGGAGCAACGCCAGTAGAGTACACTTCGGGAGTATAGGGAGAGAGCCGCCAGGGGTAGGATATTTTGGATGGGTAGACGGAGGAGCATGAGGAGACACATATTATGATGGTAACGAGGAGTAGGATGAGCCGGTGGAACAGAGGAGGAGCCGATTGATGGATGATGAGAGGAGGTCGGATTGATGCAACTCACCGCGTTCCACATGCTTGCCGTGATTGCCTCGCCCATGCCAGGCAGTTGGGCGGAATTTCGAAACGCATGGATCGACATGATGCATCCTGCATGTCGGATTTTCAGGGCTGAGGACCCCTACTCGAGAACCGATGTGGCTCGCTGCCGATGCCGATCCATCCTAGAATTCGAGTGGTATCCGATGCTTCCCTGTGTGCTGTACAGAGGCGCGGTGTGGAATCTCTTTCTTGCCCATCAGCCCTCACCACTGATATTCGTGACTGCGCTGTTCGCTCGAGTTTATGCTTGTGCACTCGGACGCAACGGGCCCCGTGGTCCAAGGATCAACCAACGTAGGGCGCCGACGGCGGTGGCGGCGCTGGTGCCGTCGCGCCCGAGGAGCGGGACGACCTGTCACGCCGGTACCAGAAGGCCGTGCGGGAGATCCGGCGGAAGGCGGATCTTGCCAAGAACGTCGTGCTGGAGAAGAAGCTCGAAGGGCGCCCCAGGGGTGCGCATCAATCGGGCCGAACGCAAGGGGAGGATAGGGAAAGGGGGGGTTATGAAATCTGCTGCGTGCAGCTGGTTTCGGCCTCGCCGCTGGGCCCATTCCTTGATACATGGGCGCCTCGTGGCGCCGGGAGGCGCCGGGGAAATCAGGTACGTGAGCTGATTCTCAAACCCCCCCTTTGCTATCCCCCCCTTTCGACCGACCCGAATCAACCGCAGGCCACGTGAGCATACAGAGTTTGGGCGTCTGCGGGCAGCAGGTGTCAGCCAGCGCGGGACCTCCGCAGGCGTCAGGTCTGGAGGCAGGAGAGGGGTGTGGCACAAGGGGATGCGGTGCCAATTCTGAATCTGGCGATGTTATCGATCGTAGATAACATCTCCATTTTCACGATTGGCACACTACCCATTTATGCCACATCCCTTTTCCTACCTCCAGAGACAGACGTCCGCCAGCGCCGAATTCACCTCAGACTCCCCCCGACGTCCGAAGTCCGTGCTTATGTGTGGCTGTATGTTTTCCGCCCTGCTCTACTGCCGAGACGCGTCTGGCACAGGGAGGTCGCTGTGGGCCTTGGTCGCGATTGGCATCCAAGCCTTGGGAGCAGTGGCAGTGAGGAGGAGGAGGAGGATGAGGAGGAGGAGGAGGAGGAGGAGGAGTAGGAGGAGGAGAGGGAGGAGAGGGAGGAGGAGGAGGAGGAAGAGGAGGAGGATGAGGAGGAAGATGAGGTGGAGGATGAGGAGCGCATCGGGTGGGGGGACGAGGTCAGAGAATGATTGCGGCACGAGCCAAATAGTCAGACAGCTCTGACGCTGATGGAAAGGCAGTGGGCGAGGACGAGGACTCCTCGTCCTCGCCCGCTTCCTTTCCATGGTTGGGCCCAATTGTCCTCCTCGACGAGTCCTCCTCGACGTGGACTCCTCGTCCTCGTCGAGGAGGATGGTTGGGCCCAATTGTGTTCAGAGTGCGCTGAGCTGGCGCTCCTTGGGGCGATCGGCGCCGTTTCACTCGCTGCCGCGGCCTGGCCGGGCAAGATCTGTCGCGGCGACAAGAGCGACACTCGAGAGCCAGCGGGACTAGCAGCAGAGGAGGTGGGTACAGGCGCCACGACTGTTACTGGCTCGCGGGGGACACACACAGACACGCACGCAAGCAAGCACGCACACGCACACGCACACACACAGGCTTGGCTACGGCTATGGGATCCAGCGTGAACAGAGCGAAGGGGCCGACCAGTCTTACACCGCCCCTGCGTGCGAGGCTGAAGTAGGGTTCCGCGGTGCGGATTTTTTGTCGCCGTCGCACCGAGACGCGCCCTGGCCCTGCCTGGACCCACCCGCGACCCAACCCGCGACTTTTTTGCGACCCACTTGCGACCCACCCCGCGACCCACCCCGCGACACACCTGTGACCCACGCGCGGCCTGGCCCCGACCCCCCCCCGCGATCTACCCCACGACGATCCACCCGCGACCCCGACCCTCCCATCTACCCCCCATCCCCGCGCACCATCCCCGCGGCCCACCTGCGATCCGCCACGCGACCCCGTGCACCACCTGCTGTCTGGAGGGGCCAGCACACGAGCGCGGCGGGCTGTTCTGCCACGGGCTCCCGAGGGCACCAACCGCTGCGCGCCCGGCCGCGACGCTCCTCGTGGCCCGCCCGCGCTGCTTTGAACAGCAACTGGCGCCAGCGGCGGGCACTCGCTCGAGAGGAATCCGTGCGTGCCCGCGCACCGATGCGACACTCCGACGGCCCACTCCGCGATCCAGCCACCCTGTGGTGCGTTCGTGGGTCGCTCTCGCCTCAGCAGGGCGGCGGGGGGTGCCCTCCCCACTCTGATTCCCCGCTGCGGGGCTAAGGCACTCTCGCGCTGCGGAGAGGGATTCCATGTCGAGGAGGAGCAGGAGGAGGAGGAGGTGGCTAATCCTCGTCGCAGCCTCATGCCATGAGGACGGGATCTCCTTTTTAGCGGACGGTTCATACCATTCTTCATTGGAGGGGCCTCCCCCAAAGATCCGCGGCAGAGTTCGAGAGCGCCTCAGGTTTACGCGTACGAAGGTGCACTAGGTATCGAAGTTGCCCGACATTTGGTCGCACGTGCAGGTCCGCAGGCGCCAAGTGGTCCAAGATTGTCAGACACAGGTCGTGGCAAGCGGTGTGGTGCACCGGGCGCGGATTGATGCACGAGAGCAAACGAGAACAGAGCGCGAGGGCGCAAGAGGCTGGAGCCTGCTCAGACCATGAAAGCTGGCGCGGGGATGTCGTAGAAGATGTGCGTGCAGGCTGCGTAGCAAGCAGCGGGTGGCCAAGGCCCGAACTTGTAGGTGGAGAAGCCCTTGATCTCGCCAAGCCATTGCCACACATCAGAATCTGCCCTACCAGCAGGTGGCCACAACTGCCGCAGTGCCAGACATTCGCCTCCAGCGCCGCCAAACGGCGGCAGTGCTCAGGCGACGGTGTGCCCTCCCCTAGTCGGTGGTTCAAAGATGGGGTCACGAGGGAAGGGGTCCTAAGCACGAGGTGCCTCGCCTTGGATCCCTTCCTATCCCCAGGGCCCCATCCACCAGGACCCCACCCTTGGACCACCGACCCAGGCTCGTCGCCCAGTACGACGCGAAGCAGGCGCAGCGGCGCGCGGCCGGGCGCGGCGGGCCGGAGAGGCGGGAGGGGGGGGGAGGCCGACGGGTGCCCCCGTGGGGTCTGACTGGCAGAAGTCCGGAGGTGAGCTGCAGACTCCTCCTCCTCCTCCTCCTCCTCCTCCTCCTCCTCCTCCTCCCCTCCATCCTCTACCTCATCCTCCTCCTCCTTCTCCTCCTCCTCCTGCCCCTCCCCCTCCTCCTCCTCCTCCCCCTCCTCCTCCTCCTCCTCCTCCTCATCCTCCTCCTCCTCATCCTCCTCCTCCTCGTCCCCCTCCTCCTCCTGGGCGGGGTGCAGGGGGGTTGGCTGGCCAGGCCGTGCCCCATCCAGCGGCCAGGGCGGGTCGGTGACCGTAGTGGCCTCGATCGCCAGCTGGTGGCTCGAGAGGGGCCAGCCCTCAGGAACGGGTCGGGGCGCGGCTGTTGAAGCAGAGAGGCGGTCCGTCTCGGATCTACGCAGGGGTCGAGGAGGCCTTCGCACCAAGCGAGGCAAGAGGGGCTGCGTGGACATGTTCTCCCCTCCACCCGCCG